GTACGAGAAGCCGAAAACATACACTCACAATGTTCCTGAGGAGCGAACCCCTAAACCTCAAACTCTATGCACATCCTTGTGTGCACTCACCAAAACCTTCATAAGCCCCTAAACCTAAAATCCCAAACCCTAAACTTTAAACCCTAAACCCTAAACCCCAAACCCCAAACCCTAAACCCTAAACCCTAAGCCCTGCCCTACCTCACTTGCTTCAGGACCAATGGGTTGATGCCAGTCATCCTATATGGGAGTTTCTGAAAATAGGGGACCCTAATGCGGTACCCTAAATAGTAGGATCCTTATTATAAAAACCCCCAAATAAGGTACCCCTAATTTTCGGAAACTCCCATATGCTTTTTTTGTTTAAGGTCTTGGGTTGCTTTCTTGAGGGCGCTTGTAGAGGTTCTAATCCCAGACCCCCGGGCGGATCTAGAAAGTAGATCCCCTAATTGGGGGCCCTATACTACTAAGGGTACTTTATAGGAGCCCCCAATAAGGGATCTACTTTTTGGATCCTTTCGGGGGTCTGGGATGACGGGTCTTATGAGACGTTCAGGGTCTTGGCTTTTGGGGAGTTCAGGACCACGGAGATTGTACTGATGCAGCCATCGTTACCCAGAGCCTCCAAAACCCCTTAATTTAAGGAATATACCTTAAATTATAATAGGATCCCTTATATGATTTAAGGTATATTCCTTAATTTAGGGGTTTTGGAGGCTCTGGGTAGGAGCATGTCGAGGACTTAACGCAGAAGGTTGAAATCACATGAAAGATCGATGGAACAAAGGAATACCAGCATCCCCCTGAGTTCGTCTTTGGACCTTTTGTTTGTCTTAGCGAAACCACCGGGGCCGAAAATCGTCTCAGCTCGCCAGTAGCGGTAGAACAGGAGAATACGAATAACGGCTTCAGGCAGTCGCAGCAATCTTCCAAGTGACTTGTGCTGGTCTCCTCGCAAGGCTTGGTGAGGGTGCCAGTTGGCGTCCCCCGCATAAACCTTAAACCCCAAGCATAAAAGCTTAGATGATCTTAGATGTCAATATTCCATGAGCACCTGACCCGGACGGCACGGCAAGAATCTGGGTCTGTGGAGCTAACCTGTGCCCTTCGCAAGCGCATTGTAGACTTTACAGCATCTGAAAACTGAAACCCTAAATTTAAATCCTAACAACACCACTTTACACAAAGCAGGGTTCCGTATCTAAAGAAAGTGTCATCAAATACCATGCTCTGCTTCCAAGCGTTCTGGATTTTACGGTTTAGGGCTTAAGATTTTCTGGATTGAAGAAAAACAAGAGACCCTACATCTTGCAGAACTAAACATCGAGTTGTAGTAACTCTCCAGTGATTTTATAACTCAAACCTCTGAAACCCCAACATCTGCAAAGCGGAGCCATTCTAAACTAGTCTGACGAGTCTGGCAAATAAAACACACACACACACACACACCCGCGCGCGCGCGCACGCCACTTGCCCTTGCCAAACCATACTCGCATGAATGCTGCATCCTACGCTTACGTCCAGATCGCGCGAAACTAAACCTCGAAAGCGCCAAGTTCAACTGCACGAGTTAAGGCTTTGATGCCTCAACCCTAAATGCTTGAACACTTCACTTTCAGAATGCCATATGCGTGCTGCGGCTGCATAGTGCCTAGTCATTATACACCCCAGCTCCACCCAAAGGCTCCTCCACAAGGAACTGTGGATTCCTTTCAGGGTTCCTTTAAGGATCTATACGGGTTTAGGGTTTAGGAGTTTAGGTTGCAGGCTTCGGGACTGGGCTTCTTGGCAGGGTTGAGCAGGGTCGGGGTTCGACGACTTTCGTCACCCTGAACACTGACCCGCAAAACCTAAATCCACGTTTAAAGTCGAATAGTTGTCCCTTATGCCTAGACTCCTAGACCTTTTACCACAATTTAACTGCAGAATCCTTGCCATGGATCCTGATCTGGGTTCACACGACTTTGACTGCAGAGGCACTCTGAGTTCCAGCTACTAGACTTACAGGATTTAAGGGGGTCTGATGGTGCTATTAACTGAGATTTAGTAGGGTTTCGTTGCCTTTTTGGGATCTGAAATACATCATGTGCTTCCACTAAAGCTATTTAACTTGGGTTTCGAAGAACCCAGGAATAAAGCCTTTGGAAGGTGGCTGTCTGCTCTGCCCCCCTCCATGGTAGAGACGAGTTTGCCCGGACACCAACGGCCAACATGTAGACCACCCTTCACTTGGATTACTCAACGTCTGACGAACATAAATCCAAGGCTACACAGCCTCAAACGATTCAGGGTTTAGGGTTTAGGGTTTTGGTTTAGGGATTCCAACCAAGAGGATAGTAGCTTCTTGGTGCATTTCTGCGAAGCCCTAGCATCCCACAGGGTCCAAGTATTGAAATGGTTCTAATATCGCTACGTGGACCGAACTGTCTCGTCACAAGAGCCTTTTGGCAGAAACACCCTAATCCGAACTACATGACCGTATGAAGGTGGTTTAACACGTTGGTGCAACCTCACAAACGCCCGACAAAACTGGAAAATGCAACCTACTTTCAACAGCTACCCACATGGAAGGGGCAAGGATGGTCGGCAGCGTGCTCCCCCCCCCCGTGGCCAATGATGGTGATAAGGTAAGCTCTTCCACGTCATTGCATGCGCTAAGCAACTAAGTTGTTTCTCTTCCTAAACCCTGCCCAGAGGCTCCATAGTAGTTCCTTTTTGGGGTTCATATTTAGAATTCTATAAGGTAATCCCAAAAAAGAAATACTATGAGCCCATGGGCGGAGCCTAATTGCTCAGATTTAGGATGGAATCGTGAGGATAGGCCTTTGGTTAGGGTTCAGGCCGGCAGGGCACGGGTCCACAGTCGAGAGAGATGTTGAGTTGAGAGATCAGTCTGGAGCTCGCAGCCTACTATCTTATAGGGGCCTACATAATTACCAACTATTACTGTGAGGGTTCCTTATTCCCATTATATCATTATAGTATAGTGGGCCCCGAAACCCTATTCTAATTATCAAGGCCCCAAAAGTAGGCCGGGCTTCGGGAAAAGGAAGTGTGGCCTTGGGTTGAGGGCTCAGGGAAAACCTCAACAGGTCTCCTTTCGGGGATGGGCTTTACTGGCCGGTTGTCAAAACTGGGGTCCCTTTTTGGGTACCCTAAATAATAGGTGCCGAAAGATATAATAGGGACCCAAAAAAGGACCCTAATTTTGACAACCACCCACTTGGAGGTTCATGGTAGTTATAAGTAGGGTTTTAAGTAGGGCAACTACAGTTATGAGCCCTATTAGGGGACTGGTGAGCCTGCTTATAACAGGGTCGGGGGTTTAGTGGGGGCAGTCGTGTGGCAGTTTTCCGGGATCAAAAGTGTAGTAGGGGTGTCAATGCCTCAGTGCTCACGGCAGCAGGTCGCACACTTTGCCAAAGAGTCCTCTCGCGTTTGCGGCACCAAGGGTGCTTCTAACCGTGCGTGGGCAGGAATTCAACATCGAAAACCGCTAAACCCTAAACCCTAAACCCAAACCCTAAACCCTACACCCTAAACCCGCAGTCGTCAGCTCCGCCGGTTGTCGCTGAATCCCTTGTAGGAACCCGTTTATAGGAGTAGGAGCCCTTGGAGGACCGCATGACAGGACGAACCCAAAGGCAGCTTCTACGCTGCCAGAAATATTGGACTCAATGTAGGGGCCTGAATAATTTTAGGGTTTAGGGCTTAGGGTTTAGAATAAGATTTTTGGGGCCAATAAGGAGCCACCAAAATAGAATTTGTAAATATTTAAGCGTCTATAGCAGGTTTCATGCACTGGACGTCTATGGTTGGATCGTGATGCAGCATGCATCTTCACCTTCCACTGGCAGGTCTCGCCAACAGGATCAAGCTCCCTCAACCCTGGGGAACTGTCGTTGTTCAAGCTTCTATGCGAATTACCCAAGATCCTTCTAGCATCCAGCCCACACGCGTTTCTGACAGCTGGCAGGCAGACGAACCGGTTTAGGCTCACCGGTCTGACTGTCAGAGCTGTGCCAGATTTTCTCAGAAGAAAGAATCAGAAAGAAGTCGGAAGGCCCTGTCGTGTAGAGGTCTTCATGATTATAACAAAGCGTGGCGGGTATTCCAGTATGACAATATAGAGACTAAAAATGGGGGGGGCCATGGTAGTATCAACTCAGAACGAAGTACTCTCCCAACAAGTGAGGCTCTTTCTTGTTTCTAGACACCAGCAGGATGTACAGCCACTTCCGCTCAAGCAAACATGCCTCTGCCGGCTTCGAAAAGAGGGATTGAGCGAAGACCTTCCAACTTAATTTCATGTTAATTTCAAACAGAAGGAGCTTTTCCCACGTCGACAGGGCTGTGGCGACTGACGGATGATTTAGCTTCAACAAGTATAATACGAGGAAGTCATCCGTGATCTGCGCACACCAGCCAAGCCTGTGTATGTTTTTGGGAAATGCCCGCGCGACCCGCCTGACATGGGTTCCCAGAGGACCGCAGATGCTGAGTACGTAGCCCTGGTCCCCACAAGGATCACGTTTTGGATAATCTCTGTAGGTTAGTAGACCCTAGCCTGAACCTGCTCCGTCAGGGTTTTCAATTCATATAGGAAAAGTGCATTTGCTCGGCTGTCCCATGAGATGAAGCTGAACCCTGATCAGATCCAAGCTAAGAATCCCGAAACCATTCTTGGCGGCTAGAACATCAAACCCTACCTAGAGTCTCCATTGTAGTTCCCTGTTTGGTTTAAGGATCCCATGAGGCAACCCGAAAAAAGAAATAGAATGGTGGAAATTCAGACCCTGCTAGAACCTCAAAGTGTTCTGGCGTCCTGGTAGACCCTGTGAGCCCTCACTTCGGCCCATTACATGTCTACCTCAACCTGCCAAAACCTACTGTGTTGTAGGTCCTTATTGTAAACCCTTATATGGATTTCATAGGGACCCTACAAAAGAAGTAGGCTTTAGTGGGTTAAGGTAGGTCATCAGAGACCCCTGTCAGTAGGGTCAGTCTGCCATCTGTTGGTTCCCTCTTCGTGGGAATGGGAAGTGCAGACTCGCGACGCTTTTCATTATCGAGTCTACCTCAGCGGCCACATGCTTGATTCTTTAGGATTTAGGCTTTAAAGTAAAACTCCTTCCGAGAAACCGCAGAGGAACCCTCAAGGGAACCCTCTTAGGTGCCGTAGAAGACTGGTCGGGTTCAGGTGATGTAGTAGGGCTGCGGGGTGGTAGGATGTGGTGAAAGTCATTCTTCATATTGTGCTGGTGCAGGTGCAGATAGCTATCGATTAGTAGGGTTATAAGATAGGAGACGTCGTATCGTGACAGGGCAATTATAGCCCTATGTACGGCTAGTTACGACCACCCAGAACTAAGCCTCAGCCCAACCGTGAACCGAAACCCCTATAACCCTACGCGCCCAAAATGCAATAGGCCCTATAGACTCTACCCCTAAAGCCCTGAACCCTCCAAACCCTAAACCCTAAACCCCTAAATCCTAAACCCTAAACCCCTAAACCCTAAACCCTAAACCCTAAACCCTAAGTCCAAAACAAGCTCGCCACTTCCAAACGAGCAAAGCCACTTTGGTCTCCAAGCGGAAGACGTCCTCGGCGGTCGGTCCCGAGGTTCGGGCTAAAGGTCAGGTCAACTACTTAAAGGATCATGGGACTTAGTAAGCAAGTTTAGGGTTTAGGGTTTACCTAAACCCTAAAACCTAAACCCCTAAACCCCTAACCCTAAACCCTTAAACCCTAAATCCTAAACCCCTAACCCTAAACCCATAATTCCTAAGCCCTACACCCATCAACCCCTAAACCCTAACCCCTAAACCCATAAACCCTAAACCCACAAACCGTAACCTGAAACCCCATAAGCCCGGCCGAGTCTCCATGCTCTTGGCCTGACCTTTGAGCCGGACGGCACCATCCATGAACTCCTTCCAGTCGATTCGACCTGGTTCTTTTAGGGTTTTTAGGGCTTATGGGTTTATAGCGTTTATGGGTTTAGGGTAGGGCCTCGGGTAGGGAACTCCGTCCAGTCGGTTCGACCTAGTCGATTCGACCTGATACATAGGTTATTGCAGTATCGTATAGTGTATTATTGTATCTTCTGGTATATCATAGTCTATTACAGTGTAGTACAATATGTATTTTCATATCATGTTTTAGAACTCCTTCCAGATGGTTTGACCTGGGTTCCGGGTTTGGGCGTTTAGGAGTTGGAGCACTAGGGCTTAGGAATTGTGGCGTAGGGTTTAGGGTAGGGAACTCCTTCCAGTTGATTCGACCTGGGTTTGGGGCTATTGGCGTGGGACTTGAGTGGCTGCTCGGTCAGTGTTATGAGTGGTACCCTAAACCCTAAAACCCTAAACCCTAAACCCTAAAACCTTAAACCCTAAACCAGGTGGAGGTCCCGGTGACGTCTGGCCCAAGTGCGGGAAAGGCTAGGCAGGAGCCTGGTACCTCTACCCAGCCGGCTTAGGGCATAGGGATATTCTAGGATACCCAGTAACCTAAGAATAAAAAGGCCTCTCTTTTTGGTATTGGGTAACTTTAATTATAAGGAACCTAGGACTATAAAAAGAGAATAAGGGTACTACTGGGCATCCTAGTATTTGTTATCGAATACGCTTACTATTACTGTATCTTCACTTTTATACACAGTGCCTCAGGTGATGCCCGTAGTCCAAGCTCAAGCATTCGGGGCGTGCAACTTCGGGAGAAGGGGTGCCAAGCGAGCCCAATACCCGGTGTTTCAGCAACATACCGTAGAACATATGGAATACCCATCTAGGAATTCGCCGTCACGCGGGTCTTGTGGCTAAACCCTAAACCCCACATCCTAAAAGAACCTTAAACTTGAAACCCTGGGAGGGTAGAAGGCAGGCCGGGCCACCGTCACCCGAGTCGATCATGCCAAACAGCTCCACCTAGGCACCCCAGACAACAATAGGAGCTTCCAAGGGGTCTATCAAGGGTTACTATAAGGGGTATTATGGGGGTTTAGTATAGGGGCCTTAATAGTTAGAGTAGGGTTTTGGGGTATATTATGCTATCATTTGAGTTGCCGAAAATGTGGGACACCAAAATAGTACCCTAAATAAATAGTAGGATCCTTATGATACGGACCCCAAATTAAGGTACCCCCTAATTTTCGGAAAACTCCCACATGGAGCTCTTGGCTATCTTCTGAGAGAATCTTACCGAGCTGCTTCTACGATCCAAAAGACAGGGGTTTAGGGTTTAGAGGATCAGGAATTAGTGTTTAAGGGTTTCGGTTTAGGCGTAAGGCGATAAGTTCGCAATCGTTTCTAACTATAGTGTCTCGATGTGCAGATGGATGAGACCTGATACAGCATTAGAAAGCGACTCTAGACGGCACGGGGTTGCTGAGGGTGCTTGCATGGTTGTTGCGGCTTGTTAGTCTTTGCAGGTCTGTCGCTATAAACAAGCTGCTTCTGCGATACCATACCAAGCCTGTGGATCCATAAACCCTACTGAAAGGATCCTGGGACTCAGTAACTAGGGTTATAATTAGGGTAGCTATACTTATAACTACTTATAACCCCAATTAAGGTACTTATAACTCCTTTAAGCAGGGTCGGCTTAGGGTTTAGAGTTTAGGGCTTGGAACTATACCCTAAACCCTAAACCCTATACCCTAAACCCTAAAACCCTAAACCCTGATCCTTTAAGTAGACCTAAACCAAACCCGCGGGTCCCCAAGAGCTCGAGCCTGAACCCCTGAATTCCCGGTCGAAGCCCTCAGCCCAGGACCCCAAACTGTGAGGCCCGCTAAACCCACAGGCCCCAAAGTAGTTCTTTTTTGGGGGCTCACATATAGAATCCTATAAGGTAATCCCAAAAAGGAACTAGTTTGGGGCTTATGGGAAGACAACCCCAAGCCGCCAAAAAAGAAAAGAAAACCCTAAAGCCCGAAGCTCAAAGACCCCCACACATATATACACCTCAAGAGTGCTTGCGTATAAGACCACAACAGCACATGCTCAGCACGTGGCTACGCCAAAATTCCGTGAAGTGAAACTTCGCAGGCTGCTGGGTAGTTGAATGCCATCCAAGCTCTGGTTGAACCTGTTTCCAAGCGTCAAACTCTGCAGGCTGCTGGGTAGATGGATGCCCTGCAAGCTCTGGTTGAACATGTAGCCAAACTCCAAACTCTCAAGGCTGCTTGGTAGTTGGATGCCCGTCAAGCTCTGGTTGAACATGTAGCCAAGCGTCAAACTCTGCAGGCTGCTGGGAAGTTGGATGCCCTCCAAGCTCTGGTTGAAGGTCCAGCCAAACGTCAAACGCCGCAGGCTGCTGGGTAGTTGGATGCCCGTCAAGCTCTGGTTGAACATGTAGCCAAGCGTCAAACTCTGCAGGCTGCTGGGAAGTTGGATGCCCTGCAAGCTCTGGTTGAACCTGTTTCCAAACGTCAAACTTTGCAGGCTGCTTGGTAGTTGGATGCCATCCAACCTCTGGCTGAAGGCAGCGCCAAACGTCAAACTATGCAGGTTGCTGGGTAGTTGGATGCCCTGCAAGCTCTGGTTGAACCTGTTTCCAAACGTCAAACTTTGCAGGCTGCTTGGTAGTTGGATGCCCTCCAAGCTCTGGCTGAAGGCAGCGCCAAACTCCAAACTCTGCAGGCTGCTTGGTAGTTGGATGCCATCCAAGCTCTGGTTGAAATCGTGGCCGAACTCCAAACTCTGCAGGCTGCCTGGTAGTTGGATGCCATCCAAGCTCTGGTTGAAGGCAAAGGCAAACGTCAAACTATGCAGGCTGCTTGGCAGTTGGATGCCCTGCAAGCTCTGGTTCAACTTGTTTCCAAACGTCAAACTCTGCAGGCTGCTTGGTAGTTGGATGCCCTCGACATTATGGTTCAACGTCAACTTCTGCAGGCTGCTGGGTAGTTGGATGCCCTGCAAGCTCTGGTTGAACATGTAGCCAAACTCCAAACTCTCAAGGCTGCTTGGTAGTTGGATGCCCTCCAAGCTCTGGTTGAACATGTAGCCAAACTCCAAACTCTCAAGGCTGCTTGGTAGTTGGATGCCATCCAATCTCTGGTTGAAGCCAAAGCCAAACGTCAAACTCCGCAGGCTGCTTGGTAGTTGGATGCCCTGCAAGCTCTGGTTGAACCCGGTTCCAAACGTCAAACTCTGCAGGCCGCTGGGCAGCTGGATGCCCTCCAAGCTCTGGTTGAAATCGTGGCCGAACTCCAAACTCTGCAGGCTGCCTGGTAGTTGGATGCCATCCAAGCTCTGGTTGAAGGCAAAGCCAAACGTCAAACTATGCAGGCTGCTTGGCAGTTGGATGCCCTGCAAGCTCTGGTTCAACTTGTTTCCAAACGTCAAACTCTGCAGGCTGCTTGGTAGTTGGATGCCCTGCAAGCTCTGGTTGAACCCTTCTCCAAACGTCAAGCTCTGCAGGCTGCTTGGTAGTTGGATGCCATCCAAGCTCTGGTTGAAGGCAGGGCCAAACGTCAAACTCTGCAGGCTACTGGGCAGTTGGATGCCCTGGTGGAGCTGTTTCGTGGAACCCCATGTGAGTGAAACAGTTTCGTTCAGGGCAGCTACATCAGACAGAGTTTTCTTCTCGAGTAGGCGCTCCCAAAGTATTGTCACACGACCCGCGCCAAGCCTCCTCACCACGTACCAGATCTCGTTGTGCTGGAGTTGATGCAGCAGGAGCTGGCGCTGATCGATGACACAACCACCGGATGTCAGCACGAGCAAACCTGCAGGGTGGCCAACTCCGGCTGCGATGCGTTCCGCTACTTCGCAACCCGTTTCGGCTGAGTTGACGTCGAGCTCAAAGCTGGAACCAGCCAGGCAATGAACGCTCACGGTCTGCTTGGCCCTGTCCTGACTGGCCTCGGCAGCTTGCGGGACGCTCAAGATCTGCTTCATAGGGCCTTCAGATGCAATCGGCCATGGCATTGGCGGCACTTCCCTGAGGCGTTAAAATGAGAAGACCCCGCTGTGCGGCTGTTGGTCGCACACTTGACATGGCGGTGTCCAGTGGTTGCACATGTGGGACGACCACAGACTTGCATGCAGTGGGACATGAAAACTGCAACTAAACAAGTGTCTACCTGGACCCCAAACGTATGTAGAATAATGGCCCTTTATAGGTTTTGGGCCATTACTTTTCCCTAATTTTGAGGGTCTAGGTAGCAATCATCTCTAGCAATCCCTGGACCCTGAAGAACCTACCTTTTTAGGGTTCCCTACTATGATTTCTGTATATAAGTCCTTAAAAAGGTAGGTTATTTGGGGTAAAGGTCATCGAATGCATCACCATCCGGAGTCTAGGGTTTATAGGGTTTTGTGCCACAGAAGAACGTCAAACCTCCAAGGGCCGAATCTTCAGGGCCACTTCTGGGGGGCCTCCAGAGTTGGAATAAGGTTTTGGGCTTCTCTATCATATGAGTATGATAAGGATTCCTAAAGAATATATATATATATATATATATATATATATGTATATATATATATGTATGTATATGTATATGTATCTATCTATATATATATATATATATATATATATATCTATTTTCGGAGTGTTAGCAAGAAGAATGCGACATGAGAAATACATATTGGTGTATTACGGGCTGAGCCTTTAGGACTACGTACAAACGGGTTTGGGATCGGGGGTTCGGGAGTAGGAGCCGTGTAAGCTTTAAAGCTTAAAGCCTATAAACCCGAAGAGATCTAAGCCCTAAACGCTGCCCCCCCTGACATCCTCAAAGCCGCAAGGTTGTGATACCTAAACCCTAAACCCGAAATCCCGAAACTCTGTCCTCAAAGCTGCAAGGTCGTGATACCTAAACCCTAAACCCTAAAACCCTAAACTACTGTTGATGATATAAATCCTGCATTACCTTAAGGACCCTAAACTATGGGAATAATGGTATATTCCTTATTGTGGGCAATGCAGGATTTATACTATCAGCCGTATGTCAAATGGGAAAAGGAGGGACCCTTAATGGGGACCCCTACCCCATAAGGGGCTATATAATGGGTATATAATAGCTATATTCGGGGTATATACCTAGGGGTCCTTATTAAGGGTCCCTTCTTTACCCTTGGATTCTGGGAAAGGCAACCATATGTCCCCTAAACCCTAAACCCCAAACCCCAAACCCTAAACCCCAAACCCTAAACCCTAAACTTATACCATCAGCCGTATGTCCTCAAAGCCGCAAGGTCGTGATACTCGAGCTGGAGTTGACTTAGCCAGAGCCTCGAAGCGGCGCTCAAGGCGCCAGTGGTTTAGGGGTTTGAAGGGTTTTAAGGGGTTTAGGGGTTTAGGGGTTTTAGGGGTTTTAAGATTTTAGGTTTAGGGGTTTTAGGGGTTGTAGGGGTTGTAGGGGTTTAGGGTTTGGGGTTTAGGGGTTTTACGGGTTTTAGGGGTGTTTGGGGTTTAGGGGTTTTGGGTTTGGGGTTTGGGGTTTTAAGGTTTGGGGTGGAGGGGTTAAGAGTTAAGGGTTTCGGGTTTAGGGGTTTGGGGGTTCTAGGGATTTAGAAGTTAAGGGGTTTAGGGGATTTAGGGTTTCGGGTTTAGGGGTGTAGGGTTTAGGGCATTTTGAATTACCATGAACAATCGCAATAGGAGAGCGAGTGCGAATTCCCGCACTGTAGCGCTTAGGGTTGGGACTGCTATACTACACTTATTCTCGGCCACCCTGGGAAATTCTCTCTCTCTCTCTCTCTCTCTATATATATGTATATATATGTATATATATGTATATATATATATATATATAAGTGTGCATAGGCATATATACATATACATACAGGTATACGTATACGTATATATATATATATATATATATATTATAATATATATATATATATGTATATTTCCGACCCCTATATTGCTTGCTCCCGGGTTCACTACAGTTTTTGGATTTACGGGGTGCGGGCTCACCGTAGGTGAGGGCTTGCAGGGGAGTCGATTGAAGAGTAAGGGTTTTGGGTGAAGGGCCGAGGCTTTAAGTAAGGTGTAGGGGCTTCTTTAAGGCATGTATAGGAACCCCTTATATAAATAGGGAATATACCCGTATATCCACGTAAGGGTTCCTTTATGGGATCTGTAGGGCTTCTTTAAGGGATCTATCGGTAAACTGATTCAACAAAGGCTCTATCAACAATTGATGACAAGAGGCTGCAGCTGTGGGTTTTCCAGCAGCTGCATGAACTCCTCCTGAGATGTCACAAGCTCTGCGGTATTTGCCGGAAGCACTCAACCCCGTCCCAAGCCCTAGAACCCCTACATCAGATAACAACCCATAAAGCCATAACGGTTCGCAAGAAGATTGTCTCCCTCCTTTAATTAAGGGTTTAGAGTTCAGGGTCTCAGATTAGGGCCGAGGGGCTTTTCTGGGATGGAAAGCCGCTGCAAGACATTATTCAGAGAATCACACCCTGCACCTGACACCCTCCAAGACGAAGCGGGCAAGATCGTAACTTCAAAAATGCACAACCCCTACAGCAGAAGCCATCAGATTAGAACATGGGTCGAGGATAATTAACTAGAAATGTATTGCCCTCTACTGTGCATTTATTGAAGGTATGAGGATATCAACCCTAAACCCTCATCATTAAATACCCAAAAACCCAAGCCGTGAAGAAGCCAAGCTTCGATGGTCAGGAAGCCATCGTCCGTAGTGTCGGCCGCTAGGAAAAGTGCATGGAGCTTCTTACGGTACTGCGCTTCGTTCCGCCTGTGGGGTTGGGGCCGGTTGGGGGTTTAGGGTTTGGGGTGTTTGGGGTTTAGGGTTTAGGATGGTTTTGGGTTCAGGGTTTAGGGTGGTTTGGGGCCGGCTGGAGTTTACGGCGGGGTTCGGAAGCGCTTCTTCGATCGAGCAGTGGCGCGCTGTGGCTACAGTACTAGGGGGGCTTGGGGTTGTCTCGCGGTGAGTCTAACACTAGACTTTGAAGTAACCAGGGAGAAAAAAGTATAGACGTTAATTTCATACGTAATGGTTCCTGTAAGGAACAGATACCAAAGAAAGTATTCAAGTATGGTACTCCAAACCCAGGAACAGGACCTCAAGCTTCACGACTGCAACCCCAAGGCGACGCCATGCTGGTTTAGGGTTTAGGGGTTTAGGGTTTCCCGCTTGGCTGTTTTTGGTTAATTGTGAATTTGACGCCAAAGTACACGACAACCGGCCGCACCCTCACAGAAATCCATCACCAGGGATGATGCCCACTGTTCGTTTCGTCACCGACGATGGCAGTCTACATGAGCAATTTAACTAGGAGGTGCTTTCAAAGCCTTTGAAAAATATTAGTAGGTGAGATCCTCTTAAGCCAAATAAGGGAAAATATAAAATGTCCCAAAGCCCTACCTAGTTAAGAGTTGGAGTTGGCAAGGAATCGGATCTCAAGGGCTGTATCCCTCTTGCTATCCTCGCCATGATTCCTTGCAGCTCTGCTACAAAATGCTACAAGCATACTCGTCCTGTTGCGATGAGCAGTAGCACAAACATGGTTCATGTAAGCTACCATGGGCGGGAGGATTGGTTTAGTTTAGGTTTTATTTCTCAAGCTTCGCAACTTGTAGATGAAGTTGGACACCGGGATTCAGCTTGAAACCTCACTGATCCTCCTGTACACCTGCAGCCTAAGCTTGTGAAAGGTGCAGACCAGGGACGCCCGTACTTTGATCAGGTACTCCTCGTCCGAGTCCGCTATCTTCAACCTTGTTACACGACGGCCCCCAGTTTCTGGCTTCGGGGGTATATAGGTTTCAACACGTGTCTCTTGCAGTCCAACGCGGCGCAAATAGATCTGGACAGCCATTGCAGGATTCACTAAACCCTAAACCCTAAACCCTGTACATGTGATCCTTTGACGTATCAGGTGTGCACGTTACGCCCGCCGTCCGGAGCCATGGTTTCGGGTACTTGAGCCGGTCATCATATGGTTGACTTGAGTTGCAGATATGTCCGAACATGCGGCTTGCTATGCCATATGCGAGCTGTTCAGCTCTCATCATTTTGTTAACTTTCGCCTTCCACTTCCCGCCTACCGAATGTCTGCATGGGGGATTGTTCAAGGCAAAACGACGATAAATGAAGCCTGCCACAAACCCCGACAGAACACCAGTGAACCCGCCAAGACCTACACCCCCGCAGCCAGGCTGAGCAGCGTCTGAGAAACAAAGACGCTGTTGACGACGTTGAGCAACGCGAAACCCACGACGCACCTGCGAGGAAGAAACTTGCTCAATCATGGTAGGTCCGGTAAGTATCATCATCATCATCATCATCATCGCCACTGCCATAAACATCATCATCATCATCATCATCACTACCACCATCATTGTAAGCAGAGTTAACACCTTCGTCTCAATCATCATGAGGCCGAAACCATTCATGACATCAATGTGTACAACCTTCTCATACAGCACAATGTCAACAAAACAAACCAACATCCTGAGAACCATCTATGTTATCATCACCATCATCATCCTCACAATGTATACACCGTCAAAAATCATCGTCGTCATCACCAGCATCACCGAAATCACTACCATCGTCATCGTCATCGCCATCATCCTTATAACAACAACAGCAGCAGTATCGTCATTTACATCGTCGGGTCATCAAGCCGCCAATCGACATCACTACCAGCACAAGCGTCAGCACAACCATCATTACGTTGAAGGCAAATAAAGTGCGAAGCAAGGAGAGAAAGCTTTGCTGTACATGACGGATATATGGCCGACATGAGCAGCTTACTTAACGAAAAGTCCCCACCGACCACCTAAGAAGAGCAGCATGCCCTAATACAGCAATGCGGCCAGGCCTGTAGCCAACGAAGACCACGGTGAACCACTCACTGACATAGTCCGTCAAGGATCGACATGCCGGAGCCCAGTTGGCAAACAACACCTGATTTTTCGCGATGTCTCCGGTTGGATACTAGCATAACTCCCACACCAGTGTGAATACTCGGTGCATAAAGTAGGTGTGAAAAAGCCACGTAGACTCCATAGACGCACCCTCAATTTCCAAAGACGTATTTACCAAAGCAAGATCACAGGAGGCACATGTTTTGGGTGTTTTAGGGTTCGGGGATGGATATGTACATATCAGTATACCTGTCTATATACATATGTACATGTGCACTTAATACAAACATCTATCTATCTATATATCTATATATATATATACATATACACACACAACGATGAATATATATATATATATATATGTGCCCCCCCCATGGATCCACCGTTTGTTGGCTTCATGTACGCGCCGTCGACAACATCGTTACACAGTTGTTCTTCAAGGGCCCAGGGTAAGGATTTGGGGGTTTAAGGAACCTAACTGAAAAACCTAAGTGACAAAACCTAGTTGAAAAAGCCTACCTGCAAAAACGTAAATGAAAAAACCTAAATGAAAAAACCTGACTGAAAAAAACTAACTGGAAAAATTTAAAAAACCTAAATCCCGAGAGTCTTGTCACGGATATCTCGCTGAAGGACTTCCCGAGTTTAGGTTTTTTAAGTTTTTCCAGTTAGGTTTTTTCAGTTAGGTTTTTTTCAGTTAGGTTTTTCCGTTCGGCTCGAACACACTATCTGAAGCTATTTGAAGCCAAGTGCTCAGTTTACACATTCTGGGTTGGGTATTCTCGATCGGGCCATATGGATGTGGTGTTTGAGCGCGCGTCGTCGCTTCCCGACGAGATGATCGCAGAGATTTGAAACTTTACACGTCGTGTCTGAGTTCAACTTGTTTACGCGATGCTGATGCTCATAATGCTTCCTAAAAAGAGCACACATTCTAAAGTGAAGAACCTCAGAACCAAGCCGTGCCTCCAGATCCTACAGAAAACGAAGTGTTTGTCGGCTACCTACTCGATGGCACTTGTTCGCATCTTTAAAGTTTTCTTGTAATGTTTTTTTTATGTCATTTGTTCATGAAGCTTGTGCTTTATGTGCCGAACGTGTTTACCAGGATCTCGAATGCTTCGTGTTGGTGAGCGGTTTTTCAAAATGATGGCAAGTGGCGAAGAACATCTTAGTCAAGCTGAGCGTTCATTCTTTGGTCTGTGAATATTGGTGAAATCACCAACGGGTATTCAACAAGATTCATAAAGGTATAAAGGGTTTCTATAACCTATGGGTATCTATATGAAATTCTTTAAGATGTAAAGAAGGTATATCGTGCAAGGTGTTCTACATGCTCTTGTTTTTGACTTCTTCATTGGGCACATAGCAGGTACAGCGCAGAGCATTCTGCTCCTGATTTTCCTCCCAATAATCCGTTATCTATAAAGTATTCTACAAGGCATTCTATGGTGCATTCTACGGGTATGTTATGGAATATTCCACAGGGTTTTCTTTAGGACTTCCTATGGGGTACTCAGAGGGTATCATAAACATTGTGTATTCTGTAAGCTAGTCTGTAGGGGGTTGCAGATGATATTCTACAAGGCCTATAAAAGGCCTAGTACGTAACGTTGTTTTGGGCTCTCTATCGGGTACTCCATAACGCATTGTATAAGGGATTGTGCAAGGCATCAACATGACCGTAAAGATTATCTTACAGAACGTATTCTATAACGTAATGTATAAGCTATACGGCTATAGGATACTCAAGAAGGTATATATGAGGTATATAGGGGATATTCTATAACGTATTACCTAGGGTCACCTGTAATTGAAGTTTGTGGTATTCTTTAGGTTATTCTCTTCGACTCCTGGATCACTCCTAGAAATCCCTTACTACCCTTACCCAATAGGCTGCTTCTTTATGAGGGGTTCTCAGATCTTGGGCTCGTTGAAAGGTTATCTATAGGTATACTTACTTCCCAAATACTTATGGGGGTGTAAAAAGTGTAAACTTTCGCAATAAGATTACCTTATTACGGGCCAAAAGTTGAAAAGTTTGGTTTCGAGCCACTAAGTGTTATGTGGGTTCAGGGTATATATCCTGTACACAAGGACTGTCATGTATAGGGCCATATGGGCGTTCTGCAAGGTCTTCTATAGAGTATTCCAGACGGTCTTCCATGAGGCGCACGACATATAGAGGGTACTATGTGTTCCATAAAGTATTTCTATGTTGTATTCTGTGAGGTACTCTGGATATTCAAAAGATATACGGGCTGTGACTGCCAGTACATGATAAGGTATTCTAGAGGCTCTAGGGTATTCAATAAGGCATGAGGGTATTCTAGATCAGTGCATTCCATATGAAAGGTTTTAAAATACATAGAGAAAGTCTTCGAAAGGACATCCTATAAGATATTCTATATAGTGTCTTGTATAGAGTGTCCTATAGGGTATGTGTAACATAATGCGTGCGGGGTGTATCATATATAGGTGGTCTTGTATACGGTATGCGACAGGATATTCAGATGGATTTCTATAAGATAGAAAGGTTATGAGAGTGGAATTTTACAAAGTATTCTAAGATGTAATCTAAAGGGCACCATATTGGTGAAATACAAGGTATTGAACCCTGGAAATATCGATAGATTTCGTGCTCACGGACATTATCTATAATCTAAATGCGTCTTATATATGGGAGGTGTAGAAATAGGGTCCTCTTTTCATATCTATACTTGTCGTGATACTACGTTATATGGGATGACATAGCTTTGCTCTCCTGTTGCGTGTTACCTTCAGAGCCCATACTGCTGCATGCAAAAACCTATACACACACAGAACATGCAAGCAAGCTTGCGTTCTTTTGCAACACGAGAAGAAGCCGTACGCGAATGTATGTCGCTTGGGAAAACTCAGGGTGTATATGAAGGAAATGCAGAATGTAGGATCTGCGAAATATTTGATCAAGTCGAAGCGTATTTAGTGAAGGCCTTATAAAGAGAAGGGAATACGTTATAGAATATCAACTATTTCGCATCCGGCTCTCAAACACGCGAAAAAGGTGGATCCTTGAGGGGGCGGGTAGCATATATATATATATATATATATATATGAGAGAGAGAGAGAGAGAGAGAGAGAGAGAGAGAGAGAGAGACATATATGCATCCATAAATGCATACATGCATACAGACATACATACCATATAATATGACTGTATAGGGACTGCACACGGATGCTGCTAATTCAGATCCCTATCTGTATGAAACACTATGGAGCTACCAAGTGCGCGCCTACACAAGCTCTTCGAGCTCAACCCCACAGTGGGAGCCCTAGTAAACCGCGGGCATATAGGATTCTGAATATATAGGCGTTGTGACGGGTTTTAAAGCTCCAAACCACAGTCCCTAGACTACCACAGTCACTAGACCGTCAGGCCCAAAACCACCAAAGCCCCTAAACGCTAATCCCTAAACCCTAATCCCTGAACCCCTGAACCCTGAGGCCTCTAACCGCCAATCCCTAAGTGCCCCATTAACCATATGGCCACCTCGAACATGGTCAAGAAGGTTCTGGAGAAAGTGCCCCAGTACTGGAAGACGTACCTGGGCTTCCCTAAACTCTAAACCCTAAATGCCCTAAATCCTAAATCCGCAACTCAAAAGATGCTGGGGTCTCCGGGTAGCCGTAGCCCTTATATACGAGGCTTCACAACAAGAGTAGGGTTTTGGGGGAAAAATGCTAGCCAAACTGAGGATTCCCATTGAACAACATTGGCAGTGGGCTTAGGGTTTAAGGCTTAGGGTTTAGGGCTTAGGGTTTAGGGCTTAGGGTTTAGGGCTTAGGGTTTAGGGCTTAGGCTTATGCAGTGTCTCTTGCTGTCTTGCTTACAAAGTACTCTCCAAGGAGCATTCTAAAATCCAGGAATCTCTTCCGAAGTGGCTTGAAGGGGGCGTAAAGCTGAAGGGCTTCTCACCTATGTCCTATAATCCGAAGATAAGATACGAATGATGTACACACGCCGCCTACTTACAGCGCTTCTCAGTTTCGTACTCAAGGCTTCGGGCATGGCACTCTGGAGAGAACTCAATTGGAGCTTGGCATCTTCTAGCATAGAAGCTGGATTTCGGAAAACACAGTAAGCTTCATGAGGATTGGTACCTCGGTTCAGGAGCTTGGGGACTAAAGCCTGAAGACTACAACTCGCTGAGGCTCAGGGTCAGGAGTTCAGGTGTATTATGGAGGTTTAGCCTCAGATGAAATGTCGGTGAAAAGATCCACCGACAAATTCATGCGAATGCTGCCAAGCCAGGTCCAACATCCCTACAACACCACTGCAGACCCTTTTGCTTTATGGCCCAGGACGTAAGGTTCAAAGTTTGAATACTACTTCCCCTACTTAGACCCCCCAACTGCCCTCTAAAAATCCCTCAATACCCACTATTAATAACCATAAGGGCTCCTTTAGAGCCCCATTCGGGGGTCCTGGTAAACCCTTAACCACTTGCAGATTGCAGAACCCAGAGAGCCCAATACCCCTTAATTAAGGAATATGGCTTAAACTATATAGGGCTTCATATTATGATTTGAGCCATATTCCTTAATCAAGGGGTATTGGGCTCTCTGGGAAGTCTCAGTTGCAGCAGCGATGCCTCCTTGCCTCTTTGTCGATCGCTGGGTCTTCCAAGTAGCGCGAGACGAGAGTGCTGATGATCATGCCTCAGGAATACCGAAGGCCAACAGGTGCCTCTGTCTCCGTGGGTGTGGGCATACACGCATACATACATATATAAGTATGATACAGATGTGTATATATATATATATACATATACATATATATATATATATATGTATCTATGTATATGGTGTGTACATTATGGTGTATACATGTATGTATATATGTAAAATAATTTACGTGTATGTGCGTCTGTACATACACATGTAAGTATAGAGATATACATGCACATATATTACTATATTAGATGTGGGCTCTAAGTCGCAGACCTATAATCCACCAAGGCGCCGCAGACACACTGGACAAAGATCAGCACCCCCGTCGCATAGCCCAGCATAGTCACGCTCGCCACAACGCACTTCAGCAAGAGGCCGAAAGATTCAAGCTTGCCTCCCCCAGAATCAAAGAGGAAAAGGAGGGAAACTTAATGGGCACCCGGGCTATATAATGGGTATATAATAGCTGTATTAAGAGTATATACCTATGGGTCCTTATTAAGGGGTCCCTCCTTTTAAAGGACCCCGAAATACCCTGTGCTAGGGGCTTCATGCTCGGGTTTAGGATTTAGGCTCCTCATGTTCAGCTTTAGTGGTGCTGGGGTTTAGGGTTGGGGTTTATAGGGCTTAGGGTTGAGGGTTGGGGTTCAGGGTTTAGGGTTGAGGGTTGGGGTTTAGGGTTGGGGTATAGGGTTGAGGTCTCTTAAGCTTTCTGGGGGTCCTCTCAGGCTGGATCCAGGACGCATTTGGACATGTTGCAAATCCGGCTCCATCGGCGGTGTCCCATTCATCAGTAGAGTGTTTTGGGGGCACGCTTGATACCCGAACATCCTTTCGACAAGATTCCTAGGGAGCGGCTCGTTAAACTCACCAGACACCGACACAAACACGGCAACCAGGTGACATGCAGCAGATCCCACAACCACGGATACTTAGCTCTAAACGCGACGTGGCTGCGTATGTAGTTAAAGAACAAGGACTACAAGTGCCCCAGCTACGCTTGCTTTAATTACAGCCTACTTAGGAACTTCCCTTTCTTCCACGTGGCAGGATTCCTGGTGTAATCCTTGCGTTCGGACCATGGGATGCAAAATAGCTTTGTGCTGGGTACTGCCCCCATACAGTAACAGTCTATAATGGGGCTACTATTAAGGGCCTAAGATTTCTTTATTATGAATATTATCCAACTGTTACTGAGTGGGGGCAGTACCCAAGCTTTGCGCTCCTCTCACTGTCCTGCAAAACGCTGTAAGCACCTTCGTCGTTGCAGAAAATGAAAGAAGACCGATCAAAAAGCAGAACAGAGCCCGAAGAGACAGTGTGGTACCGTATTTCCCCGAAACCCTCAACCCCTACCCTAAACCCCTTAACCCCTGAACCCTAAACCCTAAACCCCTAACTCCAGACCCCAGGCCCTAAAACTCAAACCCCTAACTGAGTTAATTCTTAATTGGCATCCATTTCGTCGCCAAGTGTTTCGCTTTGTGACAGTCGGCATGACCGATTGCATAAAACTCAAACCCCCAAACCCCTAAACCCCCCAAAACCCCTAAACCCCCCAAGACCCCTAAACCCTAAACCCCTAAACCCCTAAACCCTAAACCCCAACCCCAAACTCTCAACCCCGAGCCCCGCAATCCCAGGACAGGGATCCCTGGGTTCCAAAGCCGGCAACCTCAGCAACTTTTAACACGGTTTAGGCTTTAGGGTTTAGGGTTTAGGGTTAAGGCTTTAGGGTTTAGGGTTTAGGCCCAAAAACCCTTAAGCAGCCTTAAGCCGGAAAAACCTGCCTTTTTAAGGACTTATATAGGGAAATCATAATAAGGAACCCTATAAAGGTAGGTTGTTCCGACTTAAAGAGTGGATGAAGTTGTAAGGTTTCGGGAAGGGAATAAGTAAGGCAACCATAGCCGTATGTAGGTATAAGCCACGGTACATCTATCCCTAAACCCTAAACCCTAAACCCTAAACCCTAAACCCTGCTAGGCCCCTTTAACTGATGGTCTTCTGGCATCACGCAGACCGTTCTTAAGAGTAGCATTGCTTTTGTTGGTGGTCCCGTTGCTATTCTGGTAAAATCTTTACTACGAATACTGGTACTACTGTTCATCTTATTGCAGTGCAGTTATTAGTACTATGGCTGTTGTTGTTACTACGACGTTACTTAAAACTGCATCTATATTCTTCTACATGATAGAGGCGTTAGGATGGAGGGTTTACTGGGGACTTAGCAAGTAGGGGATCTGTGCACTTAGTAAGTAGGGCTCTAAGATGAATGCGGTCATAACTGAATATAGTTACACTACTTGTGCTTATTCTCCTGCCCAGGATACTAGTTCCTAAGTCCAGCGCTTCTCTTATAATTAGACCGCAAACTCCAGCCTTTAAGCCTGCAAGCCTGAACCCCAAAGTCTATGTACAGTAGAAGCCCAAAAGTTGGAAACCCATTAGTCTCAATCCTGAAGAGTCATGTATAAGGAATCTCAGTACTATTTGGCCTTAATCCGGTTTCCAACTTTCTGGGCTTCACTGTAGGGTCTCAGCACCTGAGAGGATGATCATCCGAAATGCGCGCGCCAATTTGCCAAGACGGAGCCTCACGGATGGTTTAAAGTAGATCTGGTAGGTGTTCATAGGAAATGTGCGGAGTTTTATGAGATGCATAAAAAAATGTAGCGTCTGTGAAATCGGTCTTCGAGAATTGCTATCAGATTGTATGACGCTGCTTGGGGTTTGGATTAGGGTGCTTTACAGTGTTCTATGAGGCTGTACAGGGTTTGCAGGCTTGTCTTTGTGGGGGGCGGGGGGCTTAACGTTATTCTGGTTGCATTGTGGATTGCTCATGATAAAGCGACCATAATGTGAGGGGATGCTATTGTTATGAGTCAATCTGCATGTGTTCCGATCTCTTCCTTACTTGAAGGGCTCACGAGTTTGAGGATTTAGCGGCTGCAGCCCGCTAAATTTACAAGCGACGATCCTAGCGAAACCGACAAAGCCCCGATAAGACCCTACACCACAAACCCCAAACATAAGCTTTTCCGATGGAAGTTAAGGGACGCGCAGCATGATACTGGAAATCACGACGCCCGCCGTCCCAAACACAGAAAAACCCCGAAGTTCTTCTACACCTGTCTACCATGACCTCAGACTCGAATACAACCCCCTTAAAGAAATGGAAAGCCTGAAAAAACAACTATGAGAACAATACGCGAAACCCCAAACTTCACTCCTGGCTCCGAGCCGCAGTCTTAAGAAGATCGGGTCCAAAGGAAGAGATGACCTTGGCACGACCAGCCATCCGGATCCCACCACCACAGTTTTACGAATACTGTAGACTCCTCGCTATGCCCTAAACCTATCACCGCCCTGATCAACAGACCCTCTAAACCAGAAGGGAATGTAGTAGGGTTCGAAAGATTGAGCAAAATTGCGCCACAGGATCTCATAGCCCCACCCTACAAGGATCTTAGAACCCCTCAGAAAGCAAGCCCTATGTGTCCCTTTCGACATCGAAGGATGTCAAGCAGCCTGAAGCCCTAAGCCCAAAATCCTAAACCCGAAATCCCTAAAGCGTGGACTCTAAACTACCTTAAACCCTAAACTTTAAATCCCAAGCCAAGGTTTCAAGGGTGAGTTGTGCTGATTGATTCCAACGGTAAAAGGAGGGACCCTTAATAAGGACCCCTAGGTATACACCCTTAGTATAGCCAGTGTATACCCATTATATAGCCCGTTATAGGGTTGGGGTCCCCATTAAGGGTCCCTCCTTTTCCCCTTTGATTGATCCGAGGATCGAAGGCCCAACACTAAATCGTTGTTGTTAGGTTCAGGGTTTACGGTGTAAGGTGGTTTAGGGTCCCAAAGGGTCCTATGTACCGATATAGTAGAATGTCGGGTTTCCATATTAGGAATTACTATTATGACTCTGGGAAGTATCCCCCATAACAGTACATTGGACCCTTTGGGGGTATTAGGGTTTAGGGGTTGGGGTTTAGGGGTTAGGGTTAAGGATTAACTCAAGGGGCTTTGGGATGAGGGCTTTAGGCATGGGATCGGGGCTTTAGGTGTTTGGTCTAGGGCGCTGGGTGCGAGGTTTGTGGTTCAGGAAGCGCTCCAGGTTTAAAAATGTTAGTGGTGCTGCTGGTTGTGACTGCCCTAAGCGAAGAAACCATTCCTGACCTGAAAACAAACCTGTAATTCAACACTCGAAAAAAAGCCCTATGCTTTAGCTTGCTCAGCCCATCGGATCCTTTGCGTCAGAGGGCGTGATCTTGGATTCCCCAGTTGCTTGTTTCTGACGGTTTCCGGTTTAGGGTGCAGAGCTTAGGCTCAGGAGTTGAGCGTATAGGCACTTCAGAAAATGAAGGGATCGCCCCCATAGCGCCGGGTAGTGGGTGTTGAACTCTTCAATTGTCAAACACAGCCTTCTACATTGAATTGTCCGGAACGCTGAACTGACGAATACCGGAGTCTTTGATAGGGCTTCACTTCGTTCTGAATTATCGAAAGCAGCTTGGCGGCGTATCGAGCACCAATGTACCGATTGTCAGGGTCACTACAATGAAATCGATCCTGACATGTCCAACACGGCTTGCAGTTGACCATAAACCCTAGGCCTTAAACTATAATACGGTTCTTGACCCCATTGGCCCACAAACCTCCAAGTTGGTGGTAACATGTGGTAGTATAGGGCCTTCGACCGCTACACCACCATAAGATCTGGCATTGACGGTTTCCCCAAAAAAGCTATCTCCTGAAGTCAAAAACCAATACTCCAAACTGCTAATTCCGACAAGGCATTCCCAGGGTGCCACACCTGCATACAGAGAGGTCTTAGAACGTTAGCGACACCTCTCCTTTTGCATCATTTTGATAGGATCTTTTCAACCTACCCAGCGATCTTGACCGCAGGCCCCCGAGCTGCACTTCATGATTTAATTTAGGAGCGTAGCCTGTTGATTTAGGTTGCTCAGCTCGCAGGATTAGATTTAAGCGTGGCTTTACCCGAAATCCGACAAGTTGCGAAGTTTGGTGGACCAACGTGCGAGCAGGACTGGAATAATGCAACAGCACACCAAGGTCGGGTCTTGGGCTTTGAAGCAAAATCCTTCGCTGTAGCTGCTGCCCCCTCCCCTCACGGCTTGGACGCATTGAGGCGCCAGTTCCACATGATAAGCAAGGGTTGACGCCGCAGACAGAAGCCCTGAACCCCCAACTGTTGACTCTAAGCCCTAAGCCATTAAGCCATCAACTTTTAATCCTATGCATCTGCTAATTTTACACACGAAACTTGTCCCCAAACCATGAACTCTAAATCCTAAGCCTCAAACAGCAAGAAACTCTACACCCTGTATAAGCCACAAACCGACAATTTTGAACCATCAGCCCTAACGCTTTTGCGGATTGCAAAGCCGAAAGCAGACAACCCGATACCCCTGAAATAAGGAATATACCTTAAAGTATAGAGGCCTTAATATTATGATTTAAGGTATATATTCCTTACTTATAGAGTATTGGGATCTCTGGGAAAGCAGCAAAGCAGCCAGTTCATTGCACTCTTCCAGAAGGAGCAGTGCAGGCAGACTATGCGAACAAGCCTTGGCCCAGAGGGTGCCCTCGAAATTCTTAATGCTATCTAGACCCTCAAAATTAGGTAAAATAAAGGCCCAAGACCTATAAAGCGCCATTTTTCTACATACTTCCTGGGACCAGGTATAGGTTTAAGGTGTACAGATCCTGCTGATCTGGGTGTATACCGGGGTACCGGGGGGGGCCTCAGCTTTAGAAGCTCACACAGGCCAGCACAAAGAATACAAATACCTTTGAGGTCTGATGAAGGCTTTTAAGGCCGTGGAGCCCTTTAGGCGTTTTGAAGTTCAGGGGAAGTGGACTGGGTTTAGGGTTCAGAGCTTACGGGCTTAGGGTTTAGGGGTTTAGGGTTCAGGATTTGGGGTTGAGAGTTCAAACATCGCACAAATCAGTGCAGATCCACCGTCTAAGGGGCCTAACACCACTGTTTTGGCTTGTGGCCATAGCTTGCGTAAGTCTTCGTGCAAAGAAGCTGCGGTCCTCATTCTATTGGTTATGAGCATTTCCATTACTTAGGACATCTTAGGACCTTATAAGGTTGCCCTTAACCCGGAATAACCTAAAAGAGTAACTACAATGCACACTAACTATAGGAAGAGCTTGTCGGCAAAGCCGCATCCTGTCTAATTCTTGTGCCCGACATGACAATCTCCAACTGCTACGGATTTGGAGTTTCGGGTTTGAGGGTCCGTACCTGCCCATATGGTGTAGATGTCGTACCTAACGTTTGCGTAAATAGCTCCTTGAAAACCAACACATAGCCTACATGGGTGAATGGACCCGGGAGGTTTGGCAACACTCAATTCCAGAGATCTAGCTCTAGCTTTAATGTACGGGCCTTGATCAACATACTAGAACAGGTTTTGGAGCAGTCTTCACTACTATACTGATGTAACAGGTTCCGCTAACATATAGTTTTTACCTTTTCTCTTCATCACGAACATGCCTTGGGATAGCTTAGGTCCCGAGATACCTGAAGCCATCGTCTGCAAGCGCTTCAACCATGGAATCCTCCCCGTCAACGACCACCGGCTCTTAGAAATTGAGTTTCAGAAATTTTGAATCTTGTAGGGTTTAGAGATTGGGATTTAGGAATTGGGAGTTTCAGAAATTTAGGATAGAGTCGGAGAGAGGGTTCACGGATTCTCGCCACTTGACAACTAGCCTGGTCACGGTCAACAGTTTTCGGAGTTCAACCTGAAACCCTTTTCACGGATGGTGGCAGTTTTAAGTTCAAACATCCCCACCTTGTCCCCGAAATGGCACTCACAAGTAGGGGCCTCGTAGCTACGCTTATACGATGAACCCCTATATGGAAATTGAACTGCGAACCATACTAGGGTTGAACCAAAAACCACTATGGTTCAAGTACTGTCAACCAGTTTAGGGTACCCAGAGAGCCCAGTACCCCTTAATTAAGAAATATGGCCTAAATTATATAGGGCTTCATATTATGATTTAAAGTATATTCCTTAATTAAGGGGTATTGGGCTCTCTGGGTAGTGTAGATTTCCTGCTGAAGGCAGGTTGCACATCCAGGGAGAAGATGACCTTGGGCCCGAATGCTTGAAAATGTAGGGGTGCAGGCTTTAGGGTAGGGTTTAGGGTTTAAGGTTTAGGGTTTAAAGGGAACTCCAGAAAGTTGGAATATGGATTAATGGTAGGACCCCCTATAATTTACCTTAAAGGGGTTACGATAATGATATTCCAACTTTCTGGCTTCTACTGTAGGGTGAAGGGGTTTGGGGTTTGGGGTTTCGGGTGTGGGGTTTAGGGTTTAAGGTTGGGACTCTGGTGGCTTACGTAGAGTGTCAGGGTGGAAGGGAGGGTTTAGGTTTTAGGGTTTAAGCAAGCAGGGCTTTTAATGAAGGTGGCCATAGACGTGTTGTGAATCCCTTCCCAGAGCCTCCAAAACCCTTAATTAAGGAATATACCTTAAATTATAATAGGATCCCTTATATGATTTAAGGTATATTTCCTAATTAAGGGGTTTTGGAGGCTCTGGGTTGTTAATGCACATATGACCCCAATACTCGGCTTAGGGAAGCGGGTTTAGAGTTTGGGGACCATGTGGGCCTGGGGTTTGCCCAGAGTGCCCAATACCCCTTAATTAAGGAATATACCTTAAATCATAATATATGGAGGCCTATAACATTTATGCCATATTCCTTAATTAAGGGGTATTGGGCTCTCTGGGTAGAGGCTGTTGGGTTTGTTTTGGGGCTTCACGGCTATGCTATGCCCGTAAGGCGTCCGGGCTTCTGTGACTTAGGGGTTTAAGGTTTATAGCGCTCCAACAAGCACATACCTTGGCCCCCAAGTACCTCTATAGGAACTGCTGTTCAGGCCAAAGTATACTTGGATACCCAGTAACCTAAGAACAAAAAGGCCTCTTTTTTTGGTATTGGGTAACTTTATAAGGAGCCTAGGACTACAAAAAGGGAATAAGGGTACTACTGGGCATCCTAGTTCAGGTTTCAACTGGGGTGGCTCGGGGTCCACGATTTCTGCAAGTTTGTTTAGGGTGTACAAGTGTTCATAGGGTTTAAGGACAGTGGTTTAATACACAGGTTAACTACAAGAGATTGGGGGGTTGGGCTAGGCTCTATAGGTTGAGTCGGGATGTTGGGCAAGCGTGGCCCTTGGAGGCTTGGTGGTTCGGGGTATTTTGGCGGTCCATGGATCGTTGCGCGCGGGGTGATGAGTGATCTTTGTGGACCCGGGCAACGTGCGTTCAAGCTGCAACTCTCGACTGCCCAACAAAGAAAGCACAGCCCCTACCTTGCAGCAGCTGCATGTTCGCTGCGGTGCTGGCTGGGAAGGAAGCGCCATGACGGCTGAACTCGAGTTAAAGAAACCCGCCGATGAACATAAATGAACCGGAGACAAGGAACGCGACCCTTTATCGTAGAAAACCTGAAGCCATGCACTCGAAACCCTAGCTAAAGCCCTGAACGCATGAAGCCTAAACCTCATTGCCGGGCTCAGGAGCTGTGAAAATGTTCTCAATGACCTGCAGGACCTTCCAAGGATTTGGGGTTTAGGGTTTGGAGTTTTGTTGCTTGGAGATGGTTGCTTTCGGGATTTTAAAGATTGTTGTTTAGGCTCAGGGTTTAAGCTTCATGAGACTGTGGATCAATAAAACGCCCATTTTCGCAGTGCCTCCATATGAAAGATCCCTGTTACAAAATCTGCATCTAGGGTTGAAGTATGAAAAGCTAAATAAAGACTTAGAGTTCAGTGTTGGGCATTCTCAAGTCGGCGTCGAATTGAAAGCCGCCCTTGTCCGCTGCCCCGGGCATGGTCGCCGGCGGTGGCAGCATCCGTGGCCTGTGCCTGGGCATTCGCAGCGGCCGTCTGTGCGAGTGCACGTTGGAGCTGCAGTGCTGCAGACGCCTGCGGTTGGAAACCCTAAACCCTAAACCCTAAACCCTAAACCGTGCCTGCTGCAAGGCCGGTGGATTGCACATGCCACCCAGGCCCATCATGCCAGGTCTGGTGCATTGGCTGTACTAGATAGCCGAAAGTCGGGTCCAGTGTGACCCCGTGGAGATCTGCCATCACCGCCAAGAACACTTTGGCAAATCACACGGTTGACCCACTGAAGGTACAGCAAACAACAGAGTTGTCAGGTCTCTTGCGTCTGGGGTGCCGGCTTGTGCAATCGGATTGGATGTGAGGTGCCAAGTCCGCAAAGAGTGCGCTTTTAGCGTCACGCACAGCGATCTCGTTTAGGGGTTTAGGGTTTAGGGTTTTCAGGTTTAGGGTTTAGAGTTGCAATATTTGCCGTTGCCTCTAAACTAAGGTGAATCCTCCCAAAACGAACCACGACTGATTCAAAGGACGGTCGTCCACCATGTGCCAATTTTGGTGGTTCTATGTTTACTGAAATCGTGGGACACAGTTGCATGAATCAACACAGGCAAAGCCGCAGCCACAAAACCTGCACAACAGACCTCACACCGTAGCCTAGCCAGGAACGCCCCGAGCCCCTCCCCCCCCCTACATTGGAACAATAGCTTAAGGGTCCAAGTACCCAATAATCATATACTCGCCAAAATCCCAACCTACATAACTATTATCCTAAAACCGAGTACCTGACTACTGGGTCCTTTGGACCCCTGGGGATACCTTAAAAGCTTGTGCAGGCCTCGACCATTCCTGGCCATGCGCTGTCATTCGGGTTCTTGGTCGGATAGTAATCAATATCATAGCCTGGGATGCGCGCTTTGTTTGGCCACAACTCTTTACCTAGATCCTCAAAAGTCGGTAAAATAATGGCCCAAACCCAGAAAAGGCTACTATTCTACATAATTTGGGGGTCCTGGTAGTAGCATTTTCATAAACTTAAACGTTTCGTGGTTCAGGGGTGCAGCCTTAAGGCTTTGCCATTTAGTCTCACGAGGCTAAACAAACCTCAAAGCCTAAACCCTAAAACCTGCACCCTAAACGGCCCTAAGTGTTACTCATGCTCATCAGACCACCTCTTCCCCCAAGGGTCCAAAGGACCCAATAATTAGGTGCTCGGTTTTCGGGTAGTAGTTATGTAGGTTAAGAATTTGGAGAGTATATGATTATTAGGTACTTGGACCCTTGGGGTTCAAGCAGCCCTAGTCTCTGCACTTGACGGGTTTCGAGGTTTACGCAGACCGCACACATCTACACACATTTAGTTGTCTCGCAGGATTCAAAAGAACTCCGAAGTTTTCTCGCGTACATTATGTTGCTTTGTTCTAGGGTTTAGGGTTTATAAGGCTTAGTATTGCTCTCTGAGTTGTTCTTGATCTCTGGCAGGGAGGCGCTGGCATCCTTTCTGAGTCTGAAAAAACAGGTCTCCAGACTGAAACGTTTATGGTAACCTTGAAAACAACCTTACACCAAGCGATATAGCCACCAATATCCAAACCTTGGTAGAAATCCTTCTGGACACCCAATAAAACATACAGTAAGCCTTGAGGAAACCTCGAAAGAGATCCTTATAGGCGCAGCTTCCCTAGCGCAATCCTACGAAACCCTGGGAGAAACAACACAGGGGAGACTATGATACAAACTAAAGTTTGTGATTTTAGAGAGATGCTACTACTACTAACTACCCAATCCTCCATATTGACATCACAGGAAGCATGCAGAGCCAGTCAGAAAATCGTATCTGTTTCTCCAAAAGTCCGAAAACTTAACCCTGAAACTCAAGGCCGAACGACGAAATCGATCGTTCACCTTGCCGGTAGTTTTATGCTCGGAAGTCTGAAGTTTCAGGATTCACGGTGTGCGCTGGAACCGCTCAGAATTTCCGACCCGTTGTTGCAGGGCTGGGATTGAAGGGCTTGCTAAGAGCCCCCAAGTACCCACTAATATAGCCTAAATACCAACTATTAAGGCTGATAAGGGCTGCATTGAAGGGCCATTTTGGGTCTTGGTAGGGTTTAGGGAATCGGGCTTGAGAAACCATCGACAGCCTTCAAAATCCTCACAAAAAGCACGATGCCTCAGAATTATAATGTAGGTGCCTTAACAATTGGAATAGGGTTTGGTGCTATGTTATACGTTAGAAGGAGCCCCCAAAACAGTACAGGTAATTATTTAGACCCTTATAGTGCTTGCCAGCCAAGGAGCCCACACGCGATCCCTCCATCTGAAGCTGGAAAGCCAGAAACATGACGTTGGCGAAGAGCACGCAGGAGATAATCCTTACAGGGTTTAGGGTTGCCAAAACGGATCGGAGCTGCATGCGAAGACTCCATGTACCTATGTGTCATGTACTTGTGCCTTGAAGGGGTTCTTGTACATGTACGTTAAGGCCCAGGTGTACTATATAGGTACATGGAGCCTTAGGGCAAGAAGCAAACTTTAAGTGGGTCCCATAGCAAACCGAGAGGGGTACCAACTCGTGCCACCAAGTGACCTAGCTGCTAAGCAACATGATCCTTCAAGGAGTGACTGGTGGAACCCGACAAGACCAATCCTCAGACACCCCAAACGTGCTTGGTTTCGAGGACTTCTGTGGCATAGGCTTGTGCACGACCTACCTGTAGCCGCAGCCTCCAGATCCAACACACAATGATCTTACTACACAGCCCCGGTGATATGTATATATATATATATATGTATTATATATATACATATATATATATATATATGGATATGGGCTACTGGTGAGAACTGCATTGGAGTAGTTTAGCAGACGAGCTGCTAAGCTCCACATAATCCATGGAACAAAGAGCGCCTGAAGCAAAACACAGAAATTACAAGCCCCAAAGCACAAAGCCCGAGAACTAAACCATAAACCCCGACTGCGAATCTTCAGTTTTCTTCACCCAAGCGGCGCATCAAAGTAGTTCGACTGCAAGAACTGCCTGAGGCGCAGATGATGGGAGGCCAAATGGGGGGTTTAAGATTCTTGGGGTAGGGATTCCTTAATATGAACCCTATTATGGGAACCCTAATCCCTACTAAACCCCCATAGGCTAAAACCCCCCTTTTGGCCTCCTATGAGCAGATTTATATCTCCTATCTTAGAGGGCTTCTGGAGATTCAGGTTCGGGACCCTGAACCCTGAACCGAGGACACAAGGGTTTGGTAATTCATCAGCGGACTCGGGTCTTACGTGGCCTCGCACTAAGCATGATGCCAGCCCCCAGGAAGCTCCCAATGAACGACATACCCCCCCCCCCCCTCGCCCCCCCCCAGCCAAATTCTGATTAGGAAGACTCATATGAATAACCCTACAAACCCCTTCCTGAAGGGTTTCAATGCGACTTCGGCAGTTTTACAGAGTGTCTCAGAGTGCAGTCGCTGCCGAAATGCTTAGAGAACTCGAGAGCTACTTTACTTAGGGTTGAATGTAGGGATTGCTTGGAGGCTCATGGGTAGTTTAAACATGGAGCTATAAGTAGGATCCCCATAATTACAAGTATAACTCCTGCTTAGGGGACTTAGAATCCCACTTGTCACTATCCAGGAACCTCCAAGTAAGGAATTTATAAGAGTTCGGGGTTTGAGAACTGAACCCTTCCCCTGGCACCTCAGCTGGTCCATGACGGTCGATGCTGTCTTGGAGGCCTCAGGCAGGCAAAGAGGCTCACTTGGAGTAGAAGCTTAGAAGCTCAGTCAGAAATGATCCCCAAACCCTCCAACTCCGGACAGGGAAGCCTTGCACCCTGAACTTGGGCCCTGACCACGGCACTAAACCCCCACACCCTGGACCCTGCCCTCCGAACAGGCAAGGGATAGGATACCCAGTAACCTAAGAATAAAAAGGCCTCTCTTTTTGGTATTGGGTAACTTTATAAGGAACCTAGGACTAAAAAAGGGAATAAGGGTACTACTGGGCATCCTAGAGGGTGGAGAGTTTGGGGGTTGGGCGACAGTCTGACCCGCGTTGCTGCGCTGGGGCGATGTGCAAAGCCTCTGCACCGAGGACTCCACCCCTCCCTTTTCAAGAATTAACGTTCAGGTTAGAAGGGGCCCCCACCATGTAATAGTGACTATAAGGACTATATAGGATTATATTAGAGCCCTATTATATTCCTATTATACCACTATTACATGGTGGGGGCAGATCAAGGCTTCGCTGCAAAAATTCTGAAAACATAACCGCCAAACCACGCAAGCACGTACACACGCACACAAACAAACAAACACCAGCTCCTAATGGCGGCGTTGCCGGCCCGTCGCGTTTGTGTACTAGAGAGGGTCGCAGGAAGTAATGTGCAGCTGATGCTGAGAGTCCAGAGCACTTTAATTACTTAGTAGGGTTTACGGTTCGGGGCCCTAAACCCATTAACCTGATTGAGGTGGGCTTTCCAGGGCTCTAGGAAAGATGGCCATGGATCACTTCGACAAGCCCCATGGGCATGGGGGTCGAAACAGTTTGGTAGTAAGATCTCCTTACAGTCCCGGCATAGAATCACGAGTATATAACTAATGTAATGAGCCGAAACTATACTCTAAATATCCAGGCCGCTATGGCAGAAGCAACGGTAAATCTGCTCCATAGCAGTGACTTGGCAAAGTGGCTCAAGAACCAGACAATCCCTCTTGGTTCAAGGCCCACGCCGAAAGGCAATTTCCGTTGGCGAGTTGTCCATTGTCCCTAAACGGCAAACCCGAAACCCCAACAATCCAACAACAATCTCCCTGAACCCTGGCCCCAAATCCTAAAAATCCCTGCCCTCTCCGTCACGGCTCCGCCTTCTCGTTTTCCTCGGCCTTCTCCCTCTGCAGCTTTTCTTCCATGCCTCGTGGTGCTGCCGAAACACGCTAAAGCCTTATAAAATACAGGCACTTTAATTCTACATGAAGCCTTTAAGACCTAAACTTCCATGCCTCATGCTGCTACCGAAACACGCTAAAGCCTTATAAAATATAGGCCCTTTAATCCTATATGAAGCCTGTAAAGACCTAAACCCTAATTACATAACGCCTTAAACCCTGATTACATAACGCCCTAAACCCTATATAACTCCTTAAGCCCTGAGATGGCTTCTCTGGCATTGTCTAGGATACCCAGTAACCTAAGAATAAAAAGGCCTCTCTTTTTGGTATTGGGTAACTTTATAAGGAACCTAGGACTACAAAAAGGGAATGAGGGTACTACTGGGCATCCTAGTTGTTCAGTCCGAGCCATAAGCTTGCACAGGAGCTTCCTGCTCGGCCTCGAGTGGTTCAGGGTTTTAGGGTTTTGAGATTTTAAGGTTTATGTAGGGCCTTAGGGTTGTTGAGATTTATGGCTTTGGGGTTTTTGGGGCTTTAGGGTTCTTCTAGGGTTTAGGGCTTCAGGGTTTCAGGTTTTTTTGGGGGTTTAGGGCTCTAGGGTTTAGGGCTTACTGTAGGGTTTAGGCCCAACCTCCCTCCAAAGCTCAGCATATGCACAGCCTTCCACTGCATCGATGAAACAGTCTATGCTCAGACCTTTATCTGAATTCTCATTACTACCTGGACCCCAAAAGTATGTAAGATAATGGACCTTTGTAGGTTTTGGGCCATTATTTTGCCTACTTTTGAGGGCCTAGGTAGGTATAATATCCTGATAGTACCGGATCGGAAATAGATGTTCGATTCAGCGGGCTCCTTGTCTACTGTGACATGTCGAACGGAACTGCCAGTGCCATAACGTCTCTGCCATGACATGTTGATGCCGTGCAGCGCACAGACATAATCGAATTTCAGAGCAAACTTTTGATGCTGGTGTGGTGTACCTCATGCGCTGCTCTATGTGTCTGTACATGTATACACACAGACATATATATATATATATATGGACAGGATACAGAGGAAAACCTTTACCAAACCTGGACGTGTAAGCTCGACGTCCTATGCCGCAGCAGCCGACGTCTAAATCCCCACGTGCCCTACTTACTACTTAAACCCTAGACCCTGAACCCCTAAACCCTAAACCCTAAAAACCCTAGACCCTGAACTTTCAACCAGAAACCCTAAGCCCACGAAAATCCTAAACACAAAACCCTCAAGCCGCCTTACTACAATCCCTACGAACCTATAGACCTCTATTGGACTCTGAATTCCTACTAGTAGGGACCATATACTCCCATGTTTGAGGGTAGAAAAAGAGTCCTACCGCCCAAAACTACCCTAAACCCTAATCCTAAAAGAAACTTAAACCCCAAACTTACCCGAAACCCTGAAACTTAAACCCCAAACCTACCCTAAACCCTATTCCTAAGAGAAGCTTAAACCCAAAACCTACCCTAAACCCTAAACCCAAAACCTACCCTAAACCGACCTTAAACCCTAAACCCTAAATCCTTAATCCTTAAACCCATAAACCCTAAACCCTAAACTTAAGAGGGAGGACCATCCTACAAAGCCGTGCTGTCCAGCAGCTCATGGCGGTCTGGGTCGCAAAGTCCGGCAGTTCAGCCCCTGACTGGGCTCTTCCCAGAGACTCCAATATCCCTTAATTAAGGAATATTCCTTAAATTATAGTAGGATCCCTAATATGATTCAAGGAATATTCCAGGGATATTGGAGTCTCTGGGTTCTTCAGGAACTAAAGATCAAGGTTTAGCGATTAGGGTATAGGGTTTAGGGATTGGGTTTAGCAATTAGGGGTTAAGGTTTAGGGATTAGGGTTTAGGGTTTAAGGATTTAGGACTAAGGTTTAGGAATTAGGGTTTAGGGCTTGAGTTACCATAATGAGGTTCAGTATCATGCCGAGCTGCACATTCGTTTATGGGGTCTAGGCTATCTATGGTTTAGGTTTCGGGGTTTGGGGTTGAGGGGTATAGGTTACAGTTTATCATATGGTTTTGTTGGGGTACATGGTTTTGTGGGGTTTGGTTTGGGAAGCTTACTTATAGGGGCCATCGAGGCTCAGAACCGAAGGGCTCGCAGACACGATCGGGCAGGGAAGAATTTGCTTTGGAAACTTGTGTTGCAGTCGGTTTAGAGTTTAGGGTTAGGGTTTACCTGAACCTACATTTGTAAGGACTTATATAAAGAAATCATAATAAAGAACCCCAAAAAAGGAAGGTTATTCAGGGTTGAGGAGGGTTAGGGTTTAGGGTTTAGGGGCTCAACTGCCACAGCAGGACAGGGGACAGCCCTTGGGAGTTCCTGCAGCGGCAGATGGACAACGAGCGTGTTCGTGCAGTCGGGTGCGATGCGAACCTACTCCGGGTCTTAGGTGCTGCCCCCACACAGTAAGAGTCTATAATAGGGCTACTATTAAGGTCCTAATATATCTATATTATGAATTATGAATATTCTTCAACGATTGCTGAGTGGGGGCCGTACCCAATCCGGATCACTGCCGCACTCGTCCACAAACGCGTTGCGAGCGCACAGCATGCTCTCTCCGGACCACGTCAGGCCCTGATGTGTGGCGACGTGCGGCAACCGTCACGGGTGCTTCTTGGCAACAATGGATATGGCTCAGCTGGTACCGGTGTTTCTTCACCGACAGCTTCCAACAACGGGGCATTGCTGCCAACGCCTCCGTTTCTCGTTGACATTGCTGGTCCCACGAAGACAGCCCAATACCTAAAACCTAAACCCTAAACCACGACCATAGGACGAGGTCGCGCCTAAATCCAGCACCGCTTGATCCGGTGGGGAGCCCGGCTTTTCAGGAACCCTGCGAGAACTCGAGCAACCTTACCCTAGGATGCCCAGTAAGCTAGGAATATAAAGGGCCCCCTTTTTGGTATTGGGTAACTTCATAAGGAACCTAGGACTACAACATTGAATAAGGGTAGTACCGGGCATCCTAGTACCCGAGTAGGCTCCAACAACGAAGCGGCCTTCTTGGCAGTCAGGACCCGAAGCGAATAGCAACTTCGTATCCTCGGGGTTCCTCATTATCCAGAGATCCCAATACCCCTTGATTAAGGGATAGACCTTAAATCATAATATTAAGGACTCTATGTGTTAAGGTCTATTCCTTAATTAAGGGGTTTTGGGTTCTCTGGGTATCATGCTAGCATAACAGACCCCAATAGCCCCACCCGATTTTTTTGAGGTGAGGAGTGCTAGCAGTGGTGCTCGGGTTGAGGTCGTGAGACAGCCTAGCACCTGCACACATACTGCTATAGGATGCCCAGTAACCTAGGAATAAACAGGGCTCCCTTTTTGGTTTTGGGTAACTTCGTCAGGACTACAAAAAGGGAATAAGGGTACTACTGGGCATCCTAGTACTGTAGAACCCGAAAACCGAGCCCTAAAATCAGGAAGTTATCAAACTCTTAAGAGTCCCCTCTCACATCTCCCTGCTTTTCCACGCATCAGAAGGAACCCGACGGATCGACCGAAGTGGATACCGTCATGAATCATGCCACTTACCTCTTTGTATTCGGCGCCATAATAGTTATAGGGTATGCAGTATGTAGGGTTTAGGGGTTTAGGGGTTTTGGGGTTTAGGGTTTAGGGGTTTAGGGTATACGGGTCGATGAAGTCCCACCTGTCGGCTCGGACTGCACCGAGTGCATTGTTGGCCTTGTGGAAGAGGTCTGGCGGAATTCCGCCACCTAAGCAGCTGGAATGAACGGCCCTCTGGACTAAAAAAAACCTCCGAATGTATAGGGAACTGAATCATTAGAATAGGGTCTGGGGGTATGTTACTATCTAACTATGTAGGGACTACAAGGGGATACCATCAGAGATTAAATCAAACCTTGTTGACCTCGACCCGCAACTCTACCATAAACCCTCAAGCCCCAAAAAATCACCCATGAACCACCAGACAATTAACATTCTCTACTTGGAGGTTCATGGGTAGTGATAAGTGGGGCTATAAGTAGGGTAACTTTAGCTATTATTACTCCTGTAGGGGGGGACTTATGACCCTACTTATGACTACTTGGAGGGTCGGGGGACTTAGTAAGTAGGTAGTAAGTAGACTTATAAGTACCCTAAAAGAGACCCTAATTGGGGTTATGGTACTTGTAAGTCCCTAAAATAACCAGTTACTAAGTCCCCCGACCCTCCAAGTACCCATGAACCTCCAAGTACTTAAGGCACCTGCTAGGCCCTGAATTCTGAACCGCCTCACACACGAGAAGCGAACTTTCATGAGGGCAGGACCATGACACACCAGGGGGGGTAGGTGATCTCCCAGAGTAGTAGAAGTAGTAGTAGTAGTAGTAGTAGTAGTAGTAGTAGTAGGAGTAGTAGGAGTAGTAGGAGTAGTAGGAGCAGTAGGAGTAGTAGGAGTAGTAGGAGTAGGAGTAGGAGTAGGAGTAGGAGTAGGAGTAGTAGTAATGATAGTAGGCGTAGCAGTGCGAATACGCGCATCGTCGGACGTCCCCCTAAACTCCAAACCCGCCAGCGATCTGCCCAAGCCCTAGGAAAGTGGGCCTTTACCTGGGGAGTCAGGCTGCATTCACGCTCCATAAAAAAACAAACTAAACCCTCAACCTTCAGCCTCGCCTGGACCCCAAAAGTATGTAGAATAACAGCCTTTCATAGGCTTTGGGCCATTTTTGTTACATACTCTTGAGGGTTTATATAGGTAAGCCTTAAACTCTGAACCGTGAGAGCGAGCCCTAGTTTCAACTCAAGAACTCCTATGACTATGCTTCGCGGCTACGGACTCTTGTTTTCTGAACAAAAAGATTGAACCCTAAGCTCCGGTGCTTACCAAGCCGAAAACCCTACTGCAGAGGCCAGAACTGTGAGATGAGAGTGTGTAGGAAGCACTATGCCAAGTTCGCGCAGTGCACGCTCGGAAAAATGAACTACAACCAGTGACTGAAGCTCGGATACCAACACACTGCAAAAAACTTAAACATCCTGTACTACCACCTGGCAACTCTCTGCAAGCTCCCCAACAAAAAAAATGGGCCGCAGCAAACGTCACACAGAAACGACATAATTGCATAAGGCATAAGCCCAGAAAACCAAGAAATTCCTCACAAAGACTGTGAAACACCCCGCCCCCCTCCCCGTCAGAAGCTACAATTTTTTGAAGCGGTAGAAACCGGTTCCAGCTCCCCCATGCACCCGGGTTTCGGGTTCGGGGTTTAGGATTGTTCAGGGGCTTAAACTTCCCTTCCTAAACCCAAAACCCTAAGCCCCCCAAACCCCCAAACACCCCCAAAGCCCCTACCTAGACCCCCAAAAAGTAGGTAAAATCATGGCCCAATACCTACAAAGGCCATAATTCTACATACTTTTGGGGCCCACGCCCCTAAACCCAAGACTTCCCTTGCCCCTAAACACTAGACCCCAAACCCACAAAGCCCCTAAACCCCAAGACTTCCCTTCCTAAGCCTACCCCGAGGCGCGCACCACGGAGCTCTTCGGCCGGGAGCGGAGCGATGTGGACTTCGTCACCCGTCCCAGCGAGTCGGACTTGGTACCATACAGCTGGGCCTGAAGCTTTTTTTTTGAGGGGGGGTGGGGGGGGGGATTAGGGCTTAGGGTTTAGGATTTGGGGGTTTCGGGTTTTGGGTTTTGGGTTTAGGATTTGGGGTTAAGGGCTTAGGGTCGGGTTCAGGATTTGGGGTTTAGGGTACCATTTACTGATAGCTCTATAGCCTCTACAGGGTCATATATCAAGTTTAGACGCGGGTTTGATGTATCTTATTGCTCACGCACTCCAAATCAGGTAGTATCTATAGACTGTAGACTCCACAGCAAGTCTTCTTTGCATACTTGGAGTTGCTGAGACCAAAGGCGTACCTCTATGTCCTACATTAAGCTCTTCTGCTTGGCCTTCTGCACAGCAAGGTTTGCTGCTTCTAGTTTGAGTAAGTTCCTGCATGGAGTCCGGTTAGCATCGGGTCACGGTCATCGAATATCGCTGCACAGCGCCTGTGAACTGTATAGGTTCCCCGAGAGCCCAATACCTCTCCATTAAGGAATATACCTTAAATCATCATATGAAACTAAACAATCTAAGCGATATTCCTTAATTAAGGGGTATTGGGCTCTCTGGGTTCTGGGCTCTCGGATTTCCAGGGTTTGCTTCAGGGTGAAACTGAATTGGCGGTTGAGGAAGTTCTGCAGCATAGGGTTGAGATGACGTGACGACTTACATGCCTTTACAGGGAACTCCAGAAAGTTGGAATATGGTTTCATGGTAGGATACATTATCGTTTACCATAGAAGGGTTAGGATAATCATATTCCAACTTTCTGCTTTTACCTTAGTATCGCGGGGAGGGTCAGGATGCTGGGGTTGAGCTTTTGCGCGTCTGTTTAGGCGTTGAGGATGTTCGTTCGTTATGGGATGAGATACAGGTTCTCTGCTTAGGTCCAGCGCCCCTAAGCCCTACAGACCCTGACAAGCAGAGGCCAGCGGGTACCACAGGACCTAAGGATGGGAGGACCGCAGCTTCAGGACCCGGGAACCCAGCAGACACTGGGATTTGAGGATTCCTGAACCCTTTGGGGTATATCCCTTTAAAGGGACCCTAGGAACCTTCATAGGATTCCTTTAAAGGGACCTCAGGCTCTCAAAATGGCCCAAAAGCCTTACATAATATGGTCTTTAGGCCCAAAAGTCTTCAAAAATGAGTCCTTAGAGCCTTAGGGGAAGGTTTCGAGACGGCCTCTCTACGGGTTGCATGAATTTGGGGGGGGGCCGAGTGCCGTAGCGCAGAACAGGTCAGCCCCATGAGCCCCTAAATGTCTTATGGAAACCCAGAGATCCCAATACCCCCTAATTAAGAAAAATACCCTAAATCATAATATTAAGGCCTCTATAATTGAGGGGTATATTCCTTAATTGAGTGGTATTGGGTTCTCTGGGAATCCCCCAAATTCTGCCTTCAGGTCAGCGTTCTCCATGCGAACCTGGACGAGCTGGCACGGGAACAAAGGAATGTCTGGGGACTTGCGAACTTAGGCTAGGATGCGCAGTAACCTAGGAGTAAAAACGGCTCCCGTTTTGGTATTGGATAACTTCATAATTAAGAGACCTAGGACTACAAAAAAGGGAATAAGGGTACCGCTGGGCATCCTAGTAAGGGTTTCGTCTCAACATGCAGAGTGTAGTGTTTAGCGTATATAAACTTTAGTAGGATAGATGAGCTTGCAAACGAGGAGTCCCTGAACCGTATATGGAGTATTGCTATTCTTGTTATGATAATGACGATGATCGAATGAAGATGGTTACGATAATGTTTTCACTCTTGCCTGATTTTCATACACAGTATCAGCCCTAAAGCCTCTTTTCTCTTGCTCTTTTCAACTGAAGCTCACACAAGCTGATACTGCAAGAACGGCTGCTTGGAAGTTTCAGAGTCTTACACCATGCCGGAGGTGTCGTTTTAGTGTTTAAGGGTTATGGTTTGGAGAAGTGGTTTTGTGAGGTAAGTCAGGGTGTACGTTTGGCAGATGTGCGTTCGTCAAAGGTTTCAGGCAAATCTCCCTGCCCATGCTACACCGGTACGCCCGGAGCAGCCACACTGTTACACTGAAAGCACGACGCGTGACGACCTGACTATTTCAAACCCCCGAATTGAGCACATGGGGTATGACAAGGATACTAGGTTCGTTGGGTAGTCTCCGAAAATAAAAGCACCCTGGAAGCCGCCCAGTTTTAAGAAACAACACTAAACCCTGAACCCCACACCCTAACCTAAACCCTAATATAGGGGCCTAAATAATTACCAGTACTTTTGGGGGTGTTCCTTAGTATAATTACAGCATAATGGGCCCCAAACCCTATTCCAATTATCAAGGCCCCTATACCAAAGCCCCATAATACCCCTTATAGTAATCCTTATAGGACACTTTAAAAGGAATCCGTTAAAGGGAACCCTGTTGCAATTATTAAGGCCCTATATAGTACGCCCCCAAACCCCAAGTAGCCCTTATAGAGCCCTTTAGAGGAAACCTAAACCAAGCCGTAAACCATAGAAGCTCGTAAGCCACCCCCAAACCCCATTGTGAGCCGAAAAGCCTTCGCCATCTCCTGGCTGTGGACCATGGCCAATCTGGCGATGAGGTTCTGAAACTCCTGCAGCTTCGGGTTTACACTAGAAGCCAGAAAGTTGGAATATCATTATCGTATATAACCCCTTTAAGGTAAATTATAGGGGATCCTACCATTAATCCATATTCCAACTTTCTGGAGTTCCCTTTAGGGTTTAGGAGGGTTTAACGGTTTGGGGAATTTAGGGAGTTTACGGGTTTAGGGTTTAGGGCTTCAAGGTACTTAGGGTTTAGGGGGTTTGGGGGACCGGGGATTTAGAAGGTTTATTTTTATTTTTTATGGGCCCTTTTCGAACTGCAGAACAGTTAGAATTCCTGTACTAGGATGAGCCGATGGTTGGGGCCTGGTTCCACAAGTGACAAGATGCATCACTAAATAAGGTTTAGGTTTTTTTTGTTTAACCCCTCTTTTCCGTCTGCCCCAAAGGTTATCCAGAACACCAAGTTTGGCGGAGGGAATGTTCGGGGAGGCCAATCATCAGAAAGGGGATTCACCACCAAACCACAAATGCTAACCCATATGCAAGAACAGCATCGCCTTGGCCTCCCCTATGTTTGGCAGTCTGCCACTTTCGCCTGACGAAAACGAAATAAATCCAACACTTAAACAGAAATAACGCACACAGACTACCAAACAAGATAGTGGCACTGCCCAAGACCATGGAGCGCACTCAACACAGCCTTTAGGTGGTTGGCACCAGCTACATGACATTATTCAGGCTGCATTACAACAGCAAGAAGAGGGCTATGACCCATACACATCACCATATCGCACCACAGCCAACCTTCAAATCGCATACCATTCACCGGACGATTCTCAACGGCGAATCTGTGCAAACGGTTGCCTTGACAGGAGCACTTCCCTTGCATCGGGCAAACAAATCCAAAAGTATACCAAGCAAAATAGATCAAAGTTGAGTCGGGAATTCCAGTCATTCTAGCCAATTACTTTACAGCTTTCAAAGCAGCTCTCACTCCTCTCAGCTGGCTTCACTGGACGTACCCACTCTTTGTCGACCCCTTCGACGGTGTTCCACCCTCCATCGACTTGAAGGTGCCAGCGGTTCCGCATCGCTCGCATCATAGGGCAGTGTTTCTTCCTCCTCGTCTGCGGTGGAGCGGCCTTCTCCGACGCGGGCCGAGTACCGCCTGGCGCCAAGCTCTGACCACTTGTCGGCCATTGCTGTTATGCTCCTGGTCCAGTGGGCCGCTGCGCCAAAGGTTTAGGGGTTTACCTGCAACCTCCCGTGTGCTTGTTTATTCCGCCTCCTGCTGCTAAAACGCCTTTGTGTTATCGCAGGCGTTTGTGGTGCAGCACGGGCTGTTCTTTACCTTTTAGGGTCTGGTGTGTGTCAAGGGCAGTCTCTGCGGGATTGTTGAGAGTTGCAACGTTTCAGATTTGGTTTACACAGGATGAAGCATCCATGTGATTTTAAATGATAGGGGTCATCACTTGGCCTCCTGTGTCGGGGGCAGTCGGGCAGAACGACTCATGATTCATGTACCTCGATAGGCACTGTATTGCTTTGCAACTAAACATCTTTACCTTCTTCTGTTTAGTATCTGCACTGCATCACGTGCAGTGCCATGGCAACCGCTTCTTTTTTTCAGCAGTCAGCGAGACAGCTGATGGAGTCGCGGATCAGGGGCAGCCTGATCAGGCCAGGATTGCACGTGGGGGCTGCTAATGTGCTGCTTCTGTGTCAGGGCTGTGATTTCTGCTTTGTTGCATGCACGTGGTGCCTGTGAATGCAATCGCTGTCTGCAGTGTTCGCCTGCTCGAAGCTGTGTGTGAGAGAATGCATATATTTCGATGGATCTGCAATGCAGCTAGATAGTATCTTTCAGAACAGCTGTCCTTGCCAGGGACTCGCATACATTTGGCTTCGCATTTTTCTGTCATCTTGTAAGGTACCTCGGTAGAGGAGCTTATTCCCATCATGCCGAAGGCTTGTACGTTCGAGGCGCCTCTAGCGGAGGCGCTGGAGGACAACCGTATGGTGCGGGAGCTGTTCAGGGAAAGAAAGTCTTTGCTGGGCTGGAAGAGGGCAGACCGAGCCGGGCTTCCTTCCTTGTCAGCTTTAGGCTTCAACACCCGGGTCATGACCCTGTTCGCGAGAGTCTACTGCTCGACGATGCAAACCGTGAAATCCCCGCCGATCGCGTGGATTCGGAAAGAGGTTTGGGGTGTCTAAACATGCATGGTATAACAGCATGTTACTTAAAACTCATCAACTCATGCATGGATCCTAGTCCACATGTTGACACATGCAGGCTTATATGTGCATCTCTATACGTATACATACATGCACACAGACACAGAAACACTCGTAGAATGCACATACAAAGGCTGTCTGCACGGATAGGCATGTGGGTACACCTAAGAGTGAAACCCTTTACTGTTCTAGTACTCTCGAGTTCCCAACCCGGACCCCATGCAGGTGAAGAAATTCACCTCGATGATGTCCATCGAGCAAACGCCGCAACAGCTGCACCTGGATTGCTGGGGCCTCAAGAAGCTCTTCTCGATGGGAGTTCGGCGCTGGGGTGTCCGCATTGGGGCTAGGAAGGACTGCAGGGACTTCGTGTGAAAAAGTAGCTGCCTGTATAGAAAGACCCCATACAGATTATTAAAAACTTATATATATATATATATATATCTATATATATATATATATATATAGAGAGAGAGAGAGAGGTTTGCTTCGAGGATGCAGGTATAAAGATGTATACAAACATGCACGTGTTGCTCTGTTCTACTCTGTGTCCGTATACGTATGTACCTATAAATGTCTGTATATGCATATCTATAGGAACAATTAGTTTACACACACACATTTTCACATGTGTGTAGATGTAATTGTAACATGTATATATATATATATGTCTATTTTATGACTTACATACACATATAGACTTGTATATGCATGGACACATGAAGCCTGTTTGTGCCTGCTGAAAGTACCCTTGACTACATGGCCACAGTGTGCAGGAGCCGGGCATCGATGAGTTCTACAAGATGGTCCAAAAGCACTGGGGCAGCCTACTCCCCAAAGTTGGCACCGGCCCAGTGTTGCAGGTCATCGACCTCGAGGGCCCCATGGCTGCGAGACCGAATGTGAAAAGGGAGATACCAGAGGTCATCGCCATCGAGGATGACGATGACGCCAAGATGGAGGAGATGGAGTTCAAATCCCTTTCGGAAGAGAACCTCACCGTGGAGGAAATTCAGCAGAAGATCGATTACCTCCGGTGCCTCTACATGCAAATAAAACCAAAACCTCCGATCTGTATTAGAAATGTTTACTTCTAAAGTGAAGCTTAGATGCCAGCCCCAGCAACAGCATGATCGGGGATTCACCGTCACCACATGCGCAGGTTCTGCATGCTGACATCAGGTTCATGTACAGTCCCCTGTGTGGCATGCGTGTGGGCAGTTATGAGGTCAAACATGTGTTGTTAATTGACCACGACTAAGTACACCCGTACAATGCTATATTGCAATGGGGATCACACATGGTAGCAGCGCTGTACATGAGATATGAATGAGGACCTCTATATATATATATATATACCACGACACCATCACCACAAAGCAATTCTGTACTCGTACGCAGGACGTGCAATGCAGAACCAATGTGCGGACAAAACCGTATGATTACGAAAATGCACATCTGCTGCCAGGGTCACTAGGTATATATACATACATACATATATATATATATATATATACCGATATACAGGTATAGACTCAGGGCTACTGCAACTACTACTAAGACTACTACTACTACTACTACTACTCCTACTACTACTACTACTACTACTACTACTACTACTACTACTACTACTACTACTACTACTATATACTACTACTACTACTACTACCACCACTACTACTACTACTACTACTAGGACTACTAGGAGGGGACCGTGGCTTGTATGACTAGTACCGGAGTACTGCCTGCATACGGCTAAGTGCTACTAGTTGCACTTCTACTACATAAACATAGCGAAATTCTTCTTACTAGCAAAATTATAAGTTGCACAAGGATAATAGCAGGCGCAGGTCGACTGGATTACTTACATTGCAGTTGGGAGTATTTTTTAAAAGGAATCAGATCCACACTGCAACTCAGGGCATGCTGCGACGATGGCTACGGTGTCATTGTTTTGGAGGAGGCCGACGAGACGCAGGCCGCTGCCCCCGAAGAGATCGCGGCAGAGGCTGCTTCGGCCGTGGCAGCAGAGGAGGCCTTGCAGGATGCAGTGGATGCTACAGGCAGGGTCGATGCAGTTAAAGCAGGTTTAACATCGAGGTATACAATTAGGATCGGAGGCTCCTGTCATGATGCATGGCATTGCTATTACGTATTACTTCACACATAGCACGCGCACACACTGATTCCTCAGGACCAGAAGCCCTCCAAGCAACGCTGGCCATGTTCGAGGATGAAGAGGAGGTTCCGGTTGTGAGTCGGGTTCTCCAATTTCAGAGTCGGGAGAGTCGGAAAAGAAAGAACAAGAAAGCTAATGTTAGTGATGATGAGGAGCCTCTGGAGCCTGCACCGAGCACTCCCAAAAAGGGGACTTCGACCCCGGAGCCATCGACCAAGAAAGATCATGAACGAGCGAAGAAGCTGTTAAGGTCTGAGAGACTGCAAGGCCCCGACGAGACGAGGCGGTACTTGTTCGAGGAGCCTATCCTCGAATCTGAGGTACCAGCGTCTAGGGATGAAGAGCAGCAGGAGGTGTCCGCCGAAGAAGATGCCAAGGCCTGCATTCTCGGAGGGGTTGAGGGCTTTGTGCAGTTGGGATTTCACCTCAGGAGTTGCTAGACTTCAGCTGGTTTGAAAGTGGTGTGCTTATAAGGTTCAACCACGGAATCACTACACTCATATTTGCCTGTATCTATATATGCATATCCAGATGACAAAGGCAGTGTTTCTCTGCTCTATATTGTTTCAATGCAATGCATACATAGCAGAATGCCTATAT